TAAAAAAAAAAGATTAAAGTAGCATAAAATGGAATTAATATTTCATATAGCTCCTTCATAAGATAGTTTTCTTAAAGCATTCTAAAATACTTTAAAACATATTTTGTAAATCCAGGTGGATTCTAATAATTAAATGCCTATTTTGTTATATGCTGCATTTTTATTCTTAAATCACCATTAATTATGACATTTTCACCCAATAAAATTAATTTATATTATATTCTGTTTTCTCTTGATTTTGGTGAATATAAGTGATTTTTTTGGATAATAAAATAAGTAAATGTTTTTCAAATATGATTATTGAAAGAGTTTAAATCAGTAGATTAAAATAATGGACTTTTTGTTATTTTACATGAAAACATTTTTCTCTGCAAGTTTTTATATATTTGAGATCTAATGTTATTTTTAAAAGTGGCTAAATAAAGTATCAAAGCACCTTATGATTCTAGATTATTCAAGCTACTAGCCCACAGATGTAATTTTACTTATTTAAAATAATTCCATGTGCTTTTCTTGGAAATTCTATATGTATATGGAATATTTTATATTACATATAATTGATGCCAAGTGTCAAGCTATGGATAGAAACTGCACTAGAGAAAAATGTTGCTAAAACAAAGTAGTGAAGTAATTTTTTAGAGTTATTAGTAGAATGTTTTCCTTAAACTTTTTAATGATTTTGGTAATTTTATTTTTATAATGGAAGCAAATTTATAATTTTGTATAAATTATTTAACTGCCATGTTTTCTTCTAGTTGAAAATCAAATGCTCTTTTAAACAACAAATGAAATTCTAGAATTTACTTAATATGTTAAATTCCTTGCACATAGCCTGGAAAAGGTCACCTGTTTAAAACACCTTTATATTTGCAGCTGCTTTTACTAAATGTTCCCTTACTATGACAACATTTTGATTTGGTACTATTTGATATGCCATGCTACTCATGGTATACTCATTCCAATTAAATCCATGATTCCAGGTGGCAAAATCTTTTCAAAAGTAAAACTGCTTTTATAAATAAAGATGTACATTATATATTTTATCACCCTTGTCTTAACATTGATTATTTAAGTTTTTGGGAAATACTGTCCAGCTGATCCAAAAAACAAATTCAAATATCTCAAAACCTAGATTAGAATATGGCATAGGTTATTAAAACAGCAATTATTCTTTAATTTTTTAGAAACCAAATAATAAAATGTCATTTAAAACATAGGAAGTAAAAAAAAATGAATTTCCTTTAAATAAACTGATCTGATTTTATTTAAAGAAAAAATTGGAAAAATAATCATTTGCTTCCTTATGGCTTAGATTGTAAATTCCTTTTGTTCACTGATGAGGAAACAGAATTTAGGAAGTGAATCAGTAGTCTCAAAACTTATATAATAGCATCCTATACATTTTTAATGTGCCTTTATGTTTGCTAGGGCTGCCATAAATACCACACACAGGGTGACTTCTTAAACAAGATAAATTTATTTTCTTACTGTTCTGTAGTAGGGAGATCAAGGTCCATGTTGTGGACAAGTTTCCTTTTTCCTAAGGCCTCTTGCCTGCCTTATAGGTAACAGCCAACTTGCTGTGTCCTCACATGGCCTTTTCTCAGTACTCTTGCCCCTAGTGTCTCTCACTTTGTCCAATTTTCCTCTTTTTATAACACCAGTAAGATTGGATTAGGATTCAGCCTTCCAACCTCATTTTAACTTAATCATCTTTTAAAAGGCCTCATCTCCAAATAGTTACATTCCAAAATATCAGTGATTAGAGCTTCAACATAAATTTTGAGGATACATATTCCAACCTTTATCAGTTACATACATTTCTGATGCACTATTTAAAATGCATTTTATTTATATATACCCCTCAAAAAGGAAATTATAAATATTAGATAAAACTTAATAAAAAGAGAAGTCATTATATTTACACCCCAGTTGCAGTGGATTGGCTGCTAGAGTTTATACACACCACTTTGAAGTCCTAAACTAATAAGAATCTTCAGTAGACATTGAAGATTCCTATAATTATGCTCTTTAGCATTGGTCACAGGCGTCTCTGTGTTTTTCTGCTTTACATTTTAAGTAAGTAAGGGTTTTCTTAATGTCAGATTGTTTTACTATAGTGCCTGTCCTCACCTCTATATTAATAGGAAGGACTGAAAGGTAAATGTGACTCCCCCAAACATCCAATAAAGGGTATTAACTTCTGAAAACTAAGTTTTAACAAACCTAAATTCTAATAGATGTATTTTTAGATTGCTGGGAAACTTGTTTAAATATATTGTTTAATATATGTAATATAATTTAAATATATTAAGCTTCAAATTGCGTTAGTTGTACTAATGGACTTACTGCTTATACTCAAAATAATAATTATTATTAAACATCAGAGACCACACTATTTTCTCCCTGATAAATTGCTGATTGTTGCTACAAGAGAATAATGAAAGAGTACACCAATGGAGTAAATAAACTGCTATTTCTATCAGAGTGGGTGTAATAACACCTTACTTGTAAACTCCATTCTTGCAAAAATGTGTGGCGAGTTTTGTATGGAGGATCACTTTGGTCCACAGGCATTTGATATCAGAACAAGATAACCACAATGATCATGATAGTGGTACTAATACAGAACAGCTCCGAACAAGTGGGCATTTATGTCGACTAGTCTCTGTGCTAAGCGCCTTACACGCGTATTTCAATTTAATCTTTTTACACGTCCTTTTCTAAAATGGAGAGTTTATTCGCATAGGTCATCCTGGGAAAAAACTATTTCACGAGTTAACGGAGTCATCAAATTTAATTCAGTAGTTAGCTTCGCCCCTAAGGATAAAAGTGTTTACAAAACATAACCCAACAGTGACAGATTCAGCCTTTATCGAGCCCACCCACAAAGACGGTTTAGCAGGATAAACTACTTCCTAAACACCAGTCGCCCAAGGTCTCTCCCACCGCCGGGTCACGCCCCTGGGCGTCAGCGCAGAACTCTTCCCCGCCCCAGCCAACCAAGCGCTGAGCAATTTCAGGTGTGCCTCTCGCGGGAGCTAACCTTGTTGGCGAGATTTTGAAAGTGCCCGCGATATGTGTAATATCGCGAGAATTTAAACGGGAACCGTGAGGACATTAAGGGTTTTGGCTAACCGGAATTCGGGCTGTTTTTTCATTTGGCTGGAAGCTTTTTCATTAGGAGTGTTGCTGACTCTTTTCTGTAAACTCCCTGCAGGATAATGCTGACTCGGGTGAGGCCCTTGAGCCCTGCTGGGCGCCTCTGGCTGAACCAGACTGTACACTACCAAGGAGGCGAGGGAGGGGGCCGGGATGTGGGAACTTCACCTTTGGCGGTCCCTTTGCGATATTCGGGTTTTTTGGTTCCTTGTCTAGAATCCTGGTAATATTCAGTGCGTTACTTTTGCACTTAAACATTCCCTGTTCGCTCCCAAGGTCCTCGGAGAGGACGTCCCTTCCGAGTAATCTGCAGACTTCTAATACTTGCTCACGTCAAGTTCCCAGCATAGTGTAACCTCCTATAGTGCTGAAACTGTCTTCTATGTCACTGCTGTATCCGGACGCCTAGACAGTGTTACATTTTACTTGGCCCTCTACGAATAAACGAAACAATTGCAGAGTTTCCAGAAAAAACAAAAGGGACATTTTTGTTCTTATTTTGGATTAATTCTAAGTGTACGGGAAAATTGCAATGAGTACAGAGTTTTTATGTACCTTTCACGAAGTTCCCCTTGATGCTAACATCTGTGATGGCTTTTAAAAACTAATTTTTTCCTTTAGACATAATTTGTTTAGCACAATTAGTTTCTGCTTTAACATTTGCTTCATGATTGGATTACAATTTCCTGGGGAAACACTCCTTTAGCATAAATAGGTAAATTTATCAGTAACACGGTTTACAACTCATATATTGTTATAAGTCATATATTGCTCCCCCTACAAGAACTAATAATTATCTAAAGATAAAGTGTTCTTATTTTTAGACAGTAAAAAAGATTGTGTTAATATCGAGGTTTAATAAATTTGTAGTATCTTTAATATGTGTCAGCAGCTTTTTCTTGTCTTAGTTGAAAGGAAAATCAGAGGGGAAGCTTGCAAAACAGATTTGCAAAGTTGTGTTGGATCATTTTGAAAAACAGTATTCCAAAGAACTTGAAGATTCCTGGAATACAGTGAGGTTAGTATAATTCATCTCTCGATACTTTATGATTGAGCAGTGGAAGTAAAATATGCAGAATACCTTTTTGGGTGAGGGATGAAGTGAAAATGAAAGATAAAGAAATTTAAACCTGATTGCACTCTCCCACTGGGACATAGAAAGGAAGAACCAAGAGGAAATAGATAATGAAAAGCAGTGAAAAAAAATTTTGTAGCAGTAGTAAGTAAAAATTAATATGCCCATATCTTGAACAATTGAATTGATCCAGGAAATAGGACTACCTACAAAATTAGTTATACTGTAACATAAGAACGTTAAAACTTTATAGTCAACACTGCTTTATCTCAGTAGTTTTATTTCTTCCCTGTTATGTCTGTGGTTAGCTCTGTTTTGAACATACATACACATGTGCATATATAAATACAAATTCTTTAAATGTATTATAAAAGCAAACATTTAATGCATAAAAGGAAATGAGAAAAATTGGTTTATATCTTTGCTGAGCTTTGCTGTTGACCAGGATGTTGTTCTATGGGTTGATTCTGAGTGCCTCATACTGTATATTTAATGCCCCAGGAATACAAAGAGTAAGATAGTCATTATGTTCCATTTGCATATAGTCTAGTGTTCTTAGGGGGAATGAGGTGAGAGGCATGGTTATAGCGATGTACACTGCTAATTTGGTAAGTATCATAATAAAAATAGACAGGAGTACCGTGTTTTATCTTTCAAAGCCTGAGAGTGCCAGTGAAAGCCTGAGAAAATGCCAAGTCTTGGTATCTTGGAGGAATTACTTTGGATTAAGGAACCAGACATTTTCAGCTGAGGGGAAAAGGGCAATAATAATAATAATWATTATTATTATTATTATTATTCAAGGTTGTGGATAATATCTGGAACTTGATTCAGGCAGTGGTTTCTCATGTTGTCTTATTTCACCTTTTCTTGAATTAATAAGTATATCTTCTTTACAAAGGACAGCTTTAAGCATTTTTTTAAACAAAGATTAAATCATGGCTAATGAGATAATAATCTAGCATTCTAATATAAGTTTTAAACAAATTAAGCTATTTAGGAATCAGTATAATATGAAAATGTAGTATATATTTGTTTTTATTTCAAAACTGGATTTCAAAATGTGTATTTCCGAGAATAAAGAATGACCAGTGAGGATTATAATCAATTCATTAGGCTTCTGGTATACAAAGGTAATCACATCTAATATGCAGACATCTTGCATGCTTATTATATGCCGGACAATACTGACGTAAGTAATCCTTAAACCTATGAGATTTTTTTTTTCATTCTTCATCTGATGGTACTGCAGAGTTTAAATAACATGTCCCAATTCACTCAGTTTAAGTAGTAGAATTGGGATTTGTGCTGAGGTTCTTGGACTCAAGACTTCCCTCTGCTAACCTTTAGTCTGCATTTCATACCTGGGATGTAATAGGCATACTTGGATGATTTAAAAAAAAAAAAAAGATTTTTAGAAGTCTTCTGTTGGCCGACTTTTAGTAATCTGGCTACTCGTTCCTTATAATGAGTTTTTTTCTCTTTAGTGTGTTCAGACAGACTTATAAATTATTATTTGACCCTAAACAACATGAGCAGTGAACCATAAACACATTTAATTAGCTGTGCCTTCTGCTTCATCTACCTTTTTGTTCAGTTTTCATGGTAAGTTAAGTTTTGCAAAAACATGGGCTAAATTTGCAGTAGACAAAATAAAGGTTTTCTCAGAAAGTAGTTTGAACATGGAAGATAGCACAGGGAATAAGAAGAGAATCACATATTTTTGTTTTATAATTGTTTATTTGCAAGAAATAATATTGTTCTTGTAGTCTATTTACATCCAGGGGGAAGTGGAATGCTTTTTTTCCTATCTAGAAAATAATTTACATAATATCTTTAGTTTCCTATAATAGTGGTAAAGATTTAGTATTTAATTTTACTGGTTTGTAATGACCTCTCCTGCCAAGTCCCTCTGAGAAGTTCTTTAAAGCTGAAGTTTACCCTGGTTCAGTTTTTGCTCTCTATGTTGCCTGCATATTCTCTTTCAAGGAAGTTGTCATATTCAGCAAACTCAAAAGCATGTTGTTTTTCTCTTCTAAACCTGTGTTATCTTTGTTACTTGCATATTCTATCTCAGTTGAAGACATTACTTTCAGTCCAGGTACCTCCTTTTTCCTCTACACCTTCAGTACCTTTGTAGTAAATAGTGAACCTTACTCAAAAGCAAGTCTGGCATTTCCACAGCCCTGGGGAGAAGTTCTCGAAATGTATCTGTTAAGAACATCTTTGTTTAGCTAGAATCTTGGGCCATACTTAATAGTCTTAACAATGTAATTTATATGAGTACAGACCATAGCTGTAAGCTCAGCCTCCAGAGGAGCTGGAGACTGAAAGCAGTGTGAGCAGTCAGCTATGCTTTAATTAAAACTGGACACCAGGGCTGGGGATGTGGCTTAGTGGTAGAGTGCTTACCTGGCATGCGTGAGACCCTGGGTTCTATCCCCAGCACCATACACACACACACACACACACACACACACACACACACACACACACACAAATTTAATAGGCAGTAGAAAACACAAAACAACATCAGAAATTGATATAAGGGCTTAGATGAGCATCTCTGTTTGGAAGTATTACTGTGCATATTGTTACACATTGTTGCCAGGAAAAAAGTTAGCCTTGTCCATGTTTCCAGTGCAGAGGATAACTAGAAGTTTCATGCTTTGAACTTTTGTGGACTCTGTACCTTCAGTCTTTTCCTATAACTGATTTTAATCTATATGCTTTTCGGTAAAAGATGGTAACTGTGAGTTTAAAAGCTTCCAGTGAGTTCTATATGCTCTTCTAATGAATAAACAAACTTAAGAATGGTCTTGGGGATCCCTGAAATTACAGTTTGTGTCAGAAATGAGAGTGGTCTTGGTGACTCCGTAACTATGTACTACCAAACACCATTACCCTTTCTCTGTCAAAATCTAAAATAGTTACCAAAGGTTGCTGCTTCCTCCTGAGAAATTTCTTAATTTGGACATCCTTTTCAACTCTACAGCTTCTATTTAATCAGGCCTTCATCATTTTTTACCTGGCATATTATAGCTGAGTCTCCCACTTATTTTAGCAACCACTTTTATGGTACTTTAGAAATAATTTCACTCTTAAGGTAGTTCTTTCCATTTTACACTCTTAAGGTAGTTCTTTCCATTTATAGATAGGCAAGATGAGGCATACAGAAGTTAAATAACTTGCTGAAGAATACACAATTCACTTTTAGAAGAGCTTATTCACTCTGCCATGCTGCTTCTCAGTATTGCCATATTATATTTTATCACTCCCAAGGTACACACCTTTGCTTCATCTCTCGCTGTAATGTTACATTTGAACCAAAAATTTTTTCACATCCAAGGAGCATAAGGAGGCTCCTTCATGATTTTGGTACTGGATATACTGTTCCTTCTAGTAGGAATGCCCTTCCTTTTCCTTCTGGTTAAGAATGTGATCCCATTTCAGCATCTTGTAGCACTTGACCTCAGGTTAAGTTATTAAACATCTCTATATTTCACTGTTTTCTTTTGAAAAACCTGAAAAAACAGTAACTATTTCATATAGTCACTTGAGACAGGAAATTTATGCACACACATGAACAAAATTCTCAGAATATTGAATGACATTAGTTTTATTATTAGAAATAATAATAAGCTCTCAATATATATTAACATTATTAACAACTTCATTAATCTTTCCCCTTTGTGTTTTCATTGCATTTAACTTGATATAACTTTTTTACTGCCAATACTTTATTGTTAAAAGTTTTCTAATTTGTATATTTTCCATGACAAGGTAAAAGCAATATCTTAGACAAGCAATCACTTATTCACAATTTAGTGAGGATTTATTTATGCCCCAAGCACTGCTGTGCACTTATGATACATAAATGCACTGTATATATATTCTGCCCCCAAATAGACTTATGAGGGAAGGATTAATTGGAAATCTTTATGAACTTTGAAAGTTTTATGTGCATTTTATTGAAAATTTAAAAAGCCCAAACATATC